GAGACGATTCCGATGGTGTGGTCGTCGGTCGATTCTGGAACTCCGGCGGCGGCGACGGCAGCGGCAGCGGCGGCGGTGGAGGCGGCGACTGCAACGACCACGGCGGTGATGGGTACCGGAGACCGTGGAGTTGGCGGGAACTATTCCTGTGCTCTAGATACCATGTGAGAAATAGAGAAGATTTGGAGAAAATATCCCTTTTGTGTTTAGCATACACATAGGGTAATTTATTTATATTGTAAGATATGGGCCAATACCCTTAATACAGAATAGGCTGAGCCCAAATAACAGAAACACACATCTTAACATCTAACAACAAGTTATTAGCGTAAACAACGGCCTAATTGGTTATCATGGGCAGAGTTTTGGTTTAGTACCATTTACAATGCCTCTTCTCGAATGACTCCATTTAAAGCACTTTATGGCAAGGACCCTCCTTTACTTTTAAAAGGCACAACTATCCCTTCCTGAGTCGAAAGTGTAAATTAGTTACAGGTAGAACGAGATGCAATTTTAAAGGAATTAAAAGCCAACTTATAAAAGTGTTCAAGGTAATAAACACATATGTGAGGTGGTTTACCAAGTTGGCGATTGAGTTTTTTTGAAAATTCTGCTGTACCGTTCTTCATCACTAGCCAAGAAGCTTATTGAAAAATTGTATCCGCAATTTTATGGTCCTTATGAAATAGTAGAACGCAACGATCAAGTTGCTTATAAGCCGCAACTTCCTCCGCTTCTCAACCATTACCTCCCATGCTTTCGGAAGATTACATTTTAGAAGTAACTTCTTAGAAAGTATTGGACACGGATTAATTCGTGTGGTGAGTTGGAAATTCTTAAATGGTACCAGCTTCCAGAGATAGAAAATAGTTGGGAATCAGCTACTTCTATTGCCAGAGAATTTCCATACTTTCAACTTGGGGACAAGGTGACTCTTGATGGGAAGGGTATTTATAGGTTTAGTTTTGTATATAAGAGACGGAATAAATAACTTGTGTGCCAGCAGTATCTGAACTATTTAAATAGTTCAGGGACAATTTTGAAGGGAAGGGGAAAAACTTTGTAATTGGAGTGAAGAGAGTGGGGTTCTGTCGAATAACCTCGGTAGATAACAATTGTAAGTCTTTGAGTCCGTGTTATTCCTGAGGCAGTGGCAGGATATAATAATAAAGATTACCAAGATTAGTGTATTTCATCTTGTTTTGAATACTAGTTCTATTAGTGGTGTTAGTTGGTTTATGCAAAATCCTTGTATTGATAATTGGAATGTTATCATCTCTGCATCTTAAGATACCTCAAAAAGGCTCTAGGACAAGGTTTGTTGGTTGAAGATCAAGGGCATACCCAAATTTTTGTGTATTGTGATGTTGATTGGGCAACATTTCCTATCAGTAGATGCTCCTCTTCAGGCTATTGGAGGCAACATTATTTGTTGAAAAACAAGAAACAAAATATGGTTGCCTGATCTAGTGCTGCAACTGAATATAGGATAGTGGCATCTCTTGCTTGTGAACTTGTGTGGGTGAAACAATTTCTTCAAGAATGAAAGTTCTATGAGATCCAACAAATGAAGATGTATTGTGATAATTAAGTAGCTCTCCACATTGCCTCTTGTATTCAATGGGAGGACCAAACAAATAGAACTTGGTTGTTATTTTTATTCAAGAAACGATGTGGTCCAAAGAAGTTTGTACTAAGTTTGTTGAATCCAATAATCAACTAGCATGTGTTAACAAAATCTGTAAGAGGACCTCATATTCAATTTATATGTTCCAATCTTGGCACATTCAATATGTCTGCTCCAACTTAAGGGAGAGTGTTAGAATAATTTATCTTAATTATATAACTTAACTTGTTTATTTAGGTCAAGTGGTCTGCCCGAATTAATTACAATATCCTATTGTATATTCTCAACTATATGTTAACCTGAATCAACATGCAACATATCTCTACTATTTGATGGTATTGTTACTAAATCTTTCGCAGGTTTTGTTAGCACGCGGACTGCAACTTGAGAGAACCAGTAAAGTTGCTAATGTTCAGTACTTGGAGGTATACTTCTCTCTTAAAAGCTGGTTGTTCTCTTTTTTCTTTTTCTGATTTGACTGTGAACAACTAAGTTTCTACATTTTTGACATCCTAATTAAATTTTATCCTAACTAAATTATTAAAACTTAGTTAGGATATCAAAAATGTAGAAACTTATTATATATATTTATATATAAGACACACACACACACATATATTGGTCGGGTTTCTCAATCTGCCTAACCGTAGCAAGTCATCCCACTCCGTCCCATTTTAGACTGGCCAACAATGTGCCGGACTAGCTCATTTTCCACCCTTATTTGCATAGAGATTCCTTCATGTCCAAGATGGATTTGTATCCCTCAATGTTAAGTTTGCCCAAAAATTACTTAAAAAGGCCTGTGCAATATTTGGCTCTTGAATACGGAAGACCGCAAAAAAGTGCATTTTCCACATACCAAATTATTTGAAGGAAACTGGTTGCGTTAGTGCATATATTCTTTCCATTCTTAGTTTTTAGGATATTTTACTTGGATCAATACTAAATAAGTCATAATCATACTCAAACCGGTATTGAGATGTTGGTTTTTGAACAACTGTTTTAGACACCTTAACCATTAGAGACCCTTCAGTGTTATTAGTAAGCTCTATTGTACGTGATCCAATACATTTAGTCTCTTCCTGGTTAAACATGATTAAACTTTTTTCTATGGTAGTCATCTTACCAATGGTTTATGCCTTGATATCAGATGATGATATTATTTTTTTGCTGTCATGTGGCATGTATCAAATCCATTGCACCAGTGTCACTTGGCAATTTACATGTTAATGCTTTTGTGAAGTATTTCCTTTTGATCCTTGAATTGGAGGATAATACAGACCAACATTTCTGTGTTTCAGGCAGGCCTAAGGCAATTATGCAGCCTTGCTCTGACAAGATTGGCTCCATCCTTTGATCGCCTCGTTGGTGTTTCACTTATTGTTATCTCTGTGTGTTGCACCATGTATATAGGACCTGAAAAGGAGACGGAATGATATAGATTTGAGCGATGTAGTTGTGCAGCTTATATGACGTTATTATCATTTGTTATATTGAACTTGTTTATATAAAGTCTAGTCTTAATTGGTGTATTTTAACTCTTTATCCGTCTCTGTTTGTTCTTATTTTAGCTGCTTCAGTCTTCAGATTATGGCATTTAATTGTTTTTAATCAAAAGGTTTAACTTCAGATTATCAGTTTTAAAAACCCGAATTCAAGTAAATTGTACCGATTTCTCAATCAAATCCCAATTTGCCAAAGCATTGACGTATCGGTTACCTATCTGAAAATATAAACAACTCTAAGATCCATATTTGAAAAAAAAAGTTGAAGCATGTAACCCCTTTTTCTTTTAAATCCCATCGAACAATGAGGCTTACTAAAAGTTTGTCTACAAAGACTCACTCCCATTCTAACCATAACCTGTTCAAACCTATAAATTCTGCGAGTTGAATTAGCAAAATAGGCACCATCAATTTTGAATCCAATATTTTTTCAATGTCATCATAGGCTATTACAAGTGTAACACGTTCTCCGAGCTTTTGAAATGATATTAGTATGAAAAATCCAATGCATTCTCCTTGTGACGTTCTTAAAATACTAACACTAGAATGTCAAACTTTTCTTTAAAAATTCCATCAATTATACATTTAATAAGATCTATTGGAATAACTTGCCAACTTCCAATACTATGTGATTTTCGAATATTCAAATTGACATTTAAATATTTTAAAATAGAAAAATTAAAGACTATATGTATTTCATTATTCCCTATTAAATAGAAACTGACAGTAACTAAAGACTTCATCATAGTAAAGGTTTGCTGGATAGTTAAACAAATGCTTTCAAATTCCTTTAATTGAGCTTTCGAATGTTTGCAAATCTAGCTGCTAAATTAAAAAGCATATGGTTGACACCTAAACAAATCACTTTTGGATAGAACCATAACATCTTTTGGAGCAAGGTTCGGAAGACTTTCTCTCCTTCAATGCTCACACCGTTGTAATAACAAATTCGAGATACTAACAAGGCATAAGTGAGGTAATGTACATGGATTCCGTTAGTAATGGCGAGCAAACACTCAAGATGCTTTTATCGAGATCTCAGGTTAGGCGGGATAACCTGTTGAGTTTAAGCATATCAATAAGCGGAGGAAAGAAACTAACAAGGATTCCCTTAGTAACGGCGAGCGAACCGGGAACAGCCCACCATGAGAATCGGTCGCCCCTGGCGTTCGAATTGTAGTCTGGAGAAGCGTCCTCAATGGCGGACCGGGCCCAAGTTCCCTCGAAAGAGGCGCTAGAGAGGGTCAGAGCCTTGTTGTGTCTGGACCTTATCACACCATGAGGTGCTATCGACAAGTCGGGTTGTTTGCGAATGCAGCTCCAATCGGACAGTAAATTTCGTCCAAGGCTAAATACTAGTAAGAGACCAAAAACGAACAAGTACCGCGAGGGAAAGATGAAAAGAACTTTGAAAAGAGAGTCAAAGAGTGCTTGAAATTGTAGGACGGGAAGCAGATGGGGTCGGTGATGTGTCTCGGTCGGATGTGGAACGGTGATAATCGGTCTGTCGATTTACTCGAGACATTAACCGACACGGATTATAATGGTAGCCCAATCCCGGCTTATTGAAATGGTCATCGAGACGTCATTGTCGCGATTGTGGAGGGCAGCTCGCCTCAGTCGTGTCTTAGCACCTGTGTGCTGTGGGCGTCAACTTATGGGCTTCTCATTCAACCCGTCTTGAAACACGGATCAAGGAGTCTGACATGTGAGCGAGTCAACGGGAGAGTAAACACGTAAGACACAATGAAATTGATTGGTGGGATCCCATTGTGGGTTGCATCGTCGATCGACCCTGATCTTCTGCGACGGGTTCGAGTGAGAGCATACCTGTTTGAACCTTAAAGATTGTGAACTATGACTAAGCGGGGGGAAGCCAGAGGAAACTATGATGGAGACCCGCAACGTAACTAACGTGCAAATCCTTTTTCCGACTTAGGTATACGAGTGAAAAACTAATCCAACCTTCTAGTAGTTGGTTCCCTCCAAAGTTTCCCACAAGATAGCTAGGGCCTGCGGGCGAGTTCTATCTAGTAAAGCCAATTATTAGAAGCATCAAGGGCGCAACACCCTCGACGTACTTTCAAAATTTAAATAGGCAGGACGGTGCAACTACTCTATTGAGTTGTGCCATGGAATCGAGAGCTCTAGGTGGGCCATTTTTGGTAAGCAAAACTAGCGATGCGGGATGAACCAAAAGTTTGGTTACGGTGGTCAACTGCGCACTAACCTAAACCCCACAAAGGGTGTTAGTCGATTAAGGCAACATGATGGTGGTCATGGAAGTCAAAAGTTGCTAAGGAGTGTGTAACAACTCACCTGCCGAATCTACTAGCCCTAATTGATGGCGCTAAAGCGCACAACCTATACCCGACCGTCAGGACAAGGACCCACTAATGATGAGTAGGATTGCGCGACAGTCGCTTCAAAATATAAAGCGTGAGAATAGAAGGGTTCCGTGTGAACGACACTTGCACATAGGTTAATCGATCCTAAGAGATGGGTGAAGTCGGTCTGATAACGCTTTCAACACATACTCCAAAAGGGAATTAGGTTAAAATTCCTAAAAAGGGATGTGGCAACTGACAACAACATTAGGGAGTCCGAAGACATCAAAGGGGGCCCTAGAAACAATTATCTTTTTCATTTAACAGCCTGCCTACCCTGCAAACGGCTCAACCAGTAGTAGGGTTCAGCGGTTGGAAGAGCATCGCATGTCGAGTGGTTTCTCGTGCGCCCCCGATGGCCTTTTAAAATATGAAGGACCAATTGCCTCCCACGTCGGATCGTACTCATAATCGCATCAGGTCTCTAAGGAGAACAATCTCTGGTCGATGGAACAATGTAGGCAAGGGAAGTCGGTAAAATGGATCTGTAACCTCGGGAAGAGGATTACTTCTAAGAGTTGGGCATGGGGGTCCCAGTCTCGAACCTTTTGGCGGTCGATGAACTGCTCGAGCTGCTCCCACAGTGAGAGCGGGTCGTCGCAGGCCGATCGACGGATGGATATGGAACGAGTCCTTCAGGGCCTCTTCCCTAGGCTTCGAACAGTCGACTTAGAACTAGTATGAATAAGGGGAATCCGACTGATTTATTAAAACAAAGCATTGTGATGGTCCCTGCAGATGTTCAAGCAATGTGATTTATGCCTAGTGCTCTGAATGTCAAAGTGAAGAAATTCAACCAAGCTTAAGTAAACAACGGGAGTAACTATGACTCTCTTAAGGTAGCCAAATGCCTCTTCATCTGATTAGTATTTTCCTTGTCTACTATCCAGCAAAACCACATCCAAGGTGATGGAATCCTATTTAGGAATTCCATTCAAAGGAGTATCAACTTAAGTTAAGGCTAAGAAAGGGAAATTGAAGAAGGACTTCTAAAACCTCTTTCTTCATTTTCTTTCTCTGTCTTAAAAGGATTCTCTTTTAATATGCTTATATGTTGTTTTATAGGGTCCAATAAAGCTAGGAGGTCATGAACCAACCAGAAATGAAGTCGTTTATTGAAAGGAAGCGAAAGAGCCAAAAAAGGGCAAAATTCTTATTACCTTCCGGATTATAAGTGTGAAGGAATTTTTCTTTCGGATATTGAGCCACGCCCAACCAACACCATCGCCCGCCCAGCCATTGCGTAGCAGATTTCACATTATGCAATGTTTTTTATGTGCTCTTGGTGTGGGATGAGTAATCTAGCCAATTGTCCTTCTTAGCTAGATTTGTATTTGAACTTTTGGAGGGAAACTTGGTCAGAAAGAAGGCTCCTCTTCACCAATAAATAAAAGGTCCATTACCTTGTAAAAATTCACTTTAGAGTGTAATGAAATGCTGAAGTTTTATTCCAGCCTCTTATACTCTTTAGTCACCCACTAAATTTTGAATTCAATTACTCTCCTCTAGCTTCCTTCCTTAATAGGAATGCGTTCTGAGCTCAGAGGCTTCAAACACCACCATTTCCTTCATTCACACATTCACCAAAGATCTTCCATGCATCCATTTCACTGCACCAATTTACTCTTTCTGGTGCTTTCTCTGGATTTTGAAAGTCTTCTTAATTGAATCTTGAAGGCATCTTCAATTACAAGGGAAAGGGCTTGGTGGGATCAACGGGGAAAGAAGACCCTATTGAGCTTAACTCTAGTCTGACTTTGTGAAATGACTTGAGAGGTGTAGGATAAGTGGGAGTTGGAAATAACCACTAGTACAAAAACAAAGTATAACGTCACGCGTTTAACGTCCAACCACTGAATAGCCAACGTTAATAATGACCGGTGACATTTTTGTAAATAAATGCAATTATTAAACGTCGTTTAGAATTGTAATTCGACTTAAAATGATATAAAACGTCGAATGCCCCAACGTTAGACGTCAAAAGGTTAGTGAATTGAATAAAAATCTGAGTGGGAGATTGAAAATTCATTCACCTTATCTTAGCGCGCGAGACCCTCTTCTCTTCTCAAACTTTTCTCGAACGAAGTTTGACGACCATCACATGTAATCTTTCTTTCATTTGATACAAATTCATTTTATGTATGATTTTCGTTTATTTTGACCGATTATTTTCGTGCTTTTGTCCTTCATAGGCGCATTATGCTTTCTTTATCACTGGTGACGACACTTTATTCCAACTAACCCACCTTTTGAAGGTTAGTTTTCATTTTCGTTTTGAAGAACTTATTTGTTGAACTTGTTTGTTATTGTTTGGTTCAACTTGTTTGTTGTTGTTGTTGTTTGATTGAACTTGTTTTTTGTTGGTTATTGTTGTTTGTTCTTGATACTACGTTCATAGTTCTTGCTTTATAAAATACCAAAAACTGAAATTTATTATTTTTCTGCTTTTTAGGTCTCGTAGAGTTGTAAAAAAGTATCACAATTAATTAAAAAACAAAAAAAGGTGATTAACGTTGTATATTAACAAAATTGGACGTTAAATTAACGTCGTATATTGACAAAATTAGACGTTTACTACACGTCAAATTTTTTAAATTCGACGTCAATTTAACGTCTCCTAATATGACGTCGTTTGGAATTCTCCTTTAAAAGCTCAAAATATTCGACGTTGTATGCGATTTTTGTACTAGTGAACAAAAGTGAAATACCACTACTTTTCATGTTATTTTACTTATTCCGTGAATCAAAGGCAGGGGCTACCCATCCTTTTGGTCCCAAGGTC